ATTGAGCGAAGTATCTACAGAGCGAAATACACGATGGCTTACCTGGAGACAAGAGGTCGAAACTAGAGTCTCCAGGTAGCAAGGGATCCAGCTATATACAGGGAACGAACAATGGGCGCTAGAGAACAATAGCGTCGCCATGGGTACGGAGTACAAGGGGTGTAGGACAATAGCGGACGTGGGGACAAAGGGAGCTATTGTCCGTGTGTGGACAAAGGGAAACCGTAGCGAGTAGTGAACAATAAGGAAACGTACGAGGCAGTGGTCCAAATCGAAAAGGAAACGTAGCGCCGTGAGGGCGGTTCGTGACAGCAGGGTCTGTGACAAGCTTGGCCATGCGGACAATATAGTCATGGTGCAATACATCATTCCTCTCCTTGGCAATTCTTGTGACTGCCTTGGAGGACCAATGCATGCATTGGAGAGTGCAGAGGACTGTACAGATGGAAACATGGATGAGGAACTCATTTGCCAAATAATCCTGTATTTCATCAGCATAGAGAGTTGGATGCTCCTCGAGAAGAGCGCGAATGTGGGGGACAACAAGTCCAGAGCTGCGATGTCTGCCTGACTTGCATGCGAGGGGATTGTACGAGACACCATACTTCTGGTAATACTGCAGAGTGGTGTACACGAGGCTCTTCTTGATGCCTAGGACAGTACAGATGTCTTCTATGGAGTGCCCCTGTTCAAAGCGCAGAACAGGGATGCAATCCTTGATATCGCGAGAGACAGGACGTCGAGGCATGAAGCAAGTTGCATACTATTTCACAACCTCTACACGACAGACTTGAGGGCGCGCTGCCTCGTGGCGGGAACACAGATGCACGTGATGACGCACGTGTGCTTCAATCAGCGCCCGAGGCAGCGCATTTTTGGTTCTCTGTATTGATACACTCTTCACTGTAATGCCAAGCTCATACTGATGGAAAGTGTTCAAACACCCGTGTTTAGGTGCCCATTGATCGCTCCTCTTCCTAGTCCTATAAGCAGTATAAATAGACAGAACTCGACCATAACTGAGGTATATATTGCTGTTCTTGTCAGTAACATGTGTGCACAATTTGATACAATGATGATCTCTATTTTGAGCCAAATTAGCCTCAACAAATCTCAGCATGCTCTGTGAGCATAAGCAGAAGATTTGCCATTCTAGGTATTGGAAAATGGTTGGAATACCTCCATATTCTTGCACATATATCTTGCCATAGAGGAGTCTCTATATCGTTAGTGGTTGCTCGCTTTTGGTCATCTCTCTCTTGAGAAAATAATCTTATAATACTAGACCAGCTCATTCTATAAAGCTAGTAAGACACTTTCTTGCCATTTGTCGGTTCTCCTGATAAATAATGTGCACTCTGTTGTTATGAGTACATGCAGGGAGAATGATAATAACCTACTAAGAAGTCAAGTCTCTAGCATTGAAGAAATTTCCAGGTGAATCAAGATAGCCTTGAACCACTCTTACTTCCAACTGATGTTAGTACTAATTTCTCCAAGCAGAGGCATAGATACACCATAGCGTTGAATGCTGTAGAATATTCTATATAAGTAGACTCTTATGCACAAGTATGGGGATATTCCAATCATTTCCTAGTACCCAAGGATGGCACATCTTGTGCTCATGCTCACAGAGCATGCTGAGATTTGTTGAGGCTAATTTTGTTACGACTGACTGTCGAGCAAGTAAGTGGAAGACGAGTGGGGCAGGCAGGAGCGCCGACGGGCTCTGATCACAGCGAGACTGGAGCAGAGCTCAACAGGCAGGACTGGAGACAAGTAGTGTATTAAGTGAAGTATCTACAGAGCGAAATACACGATGGCTTACCTGGAGACAAGAGGTTGAAACTAGAGTCTCCAGGTAGCAAGGGATCCAGCTATATATGAGGAACGAACAATGGGCGCTAAGGGGACAATGGTGTTGCCATGGGCACCGAGTACAAGGGCGTAGGACAATAGTGAAGGGGAAACAAGGGGGGCTATTGTCTGTGTGCGGACAAAGGGAAACCATAGCGAGTAGTGAACAATAAGGAAATGTACGAGGCTGTGGTCTGGATCGAAAGGGAAATGTAGCCCCATAGGGGCAGTTCGTGACAGTATCCCCCTACAAAGGATTGTGTCCTCACGATCGGGGCTTTGAAAGGAACTTGGTGTGGAATTTCTTGACCAGCTGAGGGGCGTGCACCAGGTTTTTCGCCAGCTCCCAGCTAGGGAATGGCATGGGTTAGGGAACATGGGTTTGGCCACCCATACCCATGCGGGTATGGGTGCGGGTCGCCACAGAAGGTACCCGCGCCAAACCCATACCCATATCCGGTAACCCGCGCATTACCCAATACCCATACTGACCACTGGGCGGGCGAGCGCTCAGGCCCGATCAAGGTGGCGAAGAGGTGATGCGCAGCTGTACAGTAGATAACTAGACTAATATGTATATACAAAATCTTTTCTGCAATACTCTAGCACTCTCCTCGTCCAAGCTCTGCCCTCTCTTTGCTACTACATTCCAAGATGCCGAAAGCCTCTTCTGGAAAAGAGAAGGCATCAGTGACAACTGGCAAGAATGTGCCGAAGAAAGCTGAGAGAATTGCCGGCCAACGTCGATCGACTCCTCGCACAAAACAGACTCGCAAGCGGAAGCGAGCAGTCATCTCCGACAAGGACTCTGATGGCAGCTCCGATGGCGAAGAGCCTGGTCCTTCAAAGAAGAAACCCGCTCCGAGCAGCAATCACGACTTGGAGCGCGATGGCCTCACTATCGTCGAGCACGAAGGGAGCAGCGAAGAGGAGGGTAGCGGTGCAGAGGGAAACAAATCTGTTCGGTCTGTGGAAGTGGATTCCGATGCAGAGCTCGGTGCGTCCATTCATTAGCCCTGTTTTCGACATGAGCCCCTGTTGGCTTGATGACGTGTCACATACCGCTTGCCAGCCATAACCTCATGTGCTTCTCCGAGAATGGCAGTTCTGCGGCACCTGCTCTCTGTGTCTGTAACATTCACTAATGTCAACATATAGAACGCGCACAGCAGCGATGGCGCTCACCAGTGTACGGGTTTTTCCGTCCAGATGTTGAAGTGAGTTACAAGAACGGCCAGCGGTCCCATGTCTTCCGCTGCGCAGCCAAAGGCTGCAAGGCTGAGGTACGCCGGTACCTTGACACACACGACCGTGCTTCGAGCGGAAACCTCTTCAAGCACGCGCGAGCTTGCTGGGGTGATGAGGTGGTCGACCACGCTATAGAATTGGGAGATGCGGATGTCGTGCGCGAGAAGGTTGTGAAAGCAAAGCTGGAATCAAAGTCTATCACAGACTTCTTCCAACAGAAAAATCCTGACAAGCTGAAGTTTTCGCATCGGCTCCTAACAAAGGCCGAGACAAGGTGCGTGTAAGTGTTCTCATGTCGCATTATGAGCTTACTTACCAGTAGCCCATGCCTCCATCTAGGGCATGGGCAGTATGCTGGGTCGCTGAGGATCTACGACCATTCACAACACTGAAAGACCGGGGATTCTTGATGATCGTCAAATGCGGGCATCCAGGCTTCTATGTACCCTCGCCCACAACGGTGTCCCGAGATGTAAAGGTCGTTTTTGTAGCAACACGGAAGCGTCTGGCAAGAATGTTGCAGGTCAGTGCATGTCATCACACAGGTAGCACAATGGTCCTGCCCTTTTTGTTCTTACGACCACCACGAGGAGTGTCGAGGTCAGAACTTGGGAAGTCAACACCATCGAGACTCACAGATGCACGTCTTTTACAGTCATATCCAGGCCGGCTTAGTTTTGCAACCGATGCGTGGACGTCTCCAAATCATCACTCCTTCGTTGCAATAACTATCCACCTGGAACTGAGGGGTAAGCCTCTTCGGATGCTACTGGACCTCGTTGAGCTAGCAAAAGTACGTACCGCAATGTAACAACATGCGCCCTCACTAAACACATCATAGCAGTCCCACACGGGCATTAATCTGGCCGTAACATTCAATGACGTGCTGCTTGAGTTCGGAATTCAAGAGAAGGTTAGTTTCACATCATGAGGAAGATGTTAGTACTCACTCCTTGCAAACAAAGATCCTGGGCATCACACTTGACAATGCATCAAATAACGACAAGATGATAGAGCACCTCAGAGAAATTCTTCCCGAATTTGAGGGCACCTTCCACCATACACGGTGCTTCGCGCATGTCAATCAGCTTGTCGCGCGCAGCTTTGTAGGCCAATTCGACGTGAAAGCCGTGAAAGCAGAAGATATCGACACCATCATGGACCCAGACATGCGTGACCTTGTTCAACTTGCAGAGGGCATTGAAGACGAGGAGCGAGAGACAAGACGGGTGCGCGCAATTGAAGAAAAAGCGCAGCAGGGATCAGGACAGGGAAGTGACAGTGAGGTCGTAGATGAGAGCAATGCGGATGCAGAAACAGAGTGGGTGGATGAGATCGCTACACTCACAGATGAGCAGCGCGAGGAGTTCGAGGCGAAGGTGCGCCCTGTCAAAGTGGCATTGGTCAAGGTCAGTTTGCGTGCCACCCGTGTTGCATTGTGGACTCAACTATGCCCCACCAGATCCGTAAAATATCCTTCAAGATCGTCAACTCCTCCACTAAGTTGCTTCCAGCGTGGCGCGCTGTTGTTGCTGAGCATAAGCTACCCGATCGGCTTCTTCCCCGAAACGTTCGTACCCGATGGAACTCGACTTACGATATGCTGAGTGAGGCGCTGGTCTTCCGCAAGCCAATCGACAAGTTGACTGACGAGGAGGAGGGTTATGGGCTTGGGGCATACCGTCCGAAGAAGAGGGAGTGGAGGTTGGTCGAGCAGCTCTGTGAGGTCCTCAAGGTTCGTTCGGCGTCAGCTCGAGTGCTACGTGTACTAACTCCCACGGCCCTCAACCCGCACTCACCTTTCTGTCGTCTTAATTGTTCTGTTTCCTAGGTGTTCAAGCATGCTACAGAGTTCTTCTCTCGAGGTACCCCAAACCTCGCAACGGTTATTCCGGCCATGGATCATCTCGACACTACGCTCACGAATCAAGCCCGAGACGACTCGCTCGACGAAGCCATACAGGCCGCCGTCGGGATAGCGAAGAAGACGCTGAATCGCTACTACAAGCTCAGCGATTTGTCGGCAACATACCGTATAGCAATGAGTAAGTTTTCTTCCTTACTTCTCCGCCCACAGACATTCTTGCGCTCGAAAACGAGCAGCCATGTCCTCCATCAACCTCCCCGCGTGCTGCACATGTCGACCGTCATATCCGGCGATGCCCCCCACACGTACGATGCTGATCTTCAAGGAGCTCCTCACCCCGAGAGTCTGACCTGGGCTCCTTCCATGCCCTAGCCATCGCCAGACAGGGCGGCACTCCGGCCCTCGACGGTGACGCAATCACCTCCCCGTCCATGTTCACTGCAGACGATGACGGTGTTCTCTGCGGCGTCGGCGTCAATAGCTGGGACTCGTTGTATGTGAGCCGTCAGAACGCGAGGACGAAGACAAATCATCCTTGTCTTTCTCCCTCTCCCGTCACCGCCGCTCTTCCTCCTCGATCCGATTGGGCCGCACCTCCAGCCAGTCCACCCACCTGTACCACGCCGACTCGTCCCTCAGCTCGTTCACATACTCTCCCATGAGCCCGCATACCTACTTCCCCGCCGTCGGCGGACGCTCCCATCATCAGCTTCCGCACGACAGTCCACATCGGTGGCCACAGGATCATCAAGTATCTGGCCTTGGAACGCCACGTATGTCTGCTGCATGAGGGGATAGGTCTGGGGGTGAGGCACGGGGTCCGTATTAGGTCGCGGGTGCGTGAGTTCCTCCAGGCCGTCGCAGCCCTATTAATCATCATCCAGCATACCAAAGGTGTCGTGCGGGTGCTAGCCGGGGGCAGCCATGGTTCACATGGTTGAAGTCGTCCTTCGCGGGACTGATCCAGTGAGCGTCCAGATTTTGGTTCCGCACCCAGTCCGTCGTTCACATCATCGTTGCTGCCGTACACCTCACTGGCCTCCACTCGAGAGGCGAACTTGGACGTTGCCAACGCCTGCTGCAGCCTATCTCTGATCTTCGTGTAGGATCGTAACCCATGCTCCTTCTCCACCACTTGGAGGACGTCGCGAATCGACCTTTCACCTAGGTCGACGCTGCCTTGACGGTGGTGGAGATGGCCGACGCTGTATGGGAGACGCGACAGTCGGTGGAGTCGTCATCGACTCTGACCATGGTCCTCTCCCACTATCCCCTCCCTCCCTTCTCATGTCGCAGCCCGATGCATCGCTCCGGTCTCACTCAGTCATGTTCGAAAACCCCATCCCCTTCGAACACGCCTCGTCGACCATTACCGCAGCCCCGAACGGAACCCCAGGCTTGGCCAAGCGTCAGGACGACACCACTACGACTACCACGGAAACTGACATGACCACCACGACCACCACGGAAATTGACACAGCCGCCATGACTGCCACGTCAGACTCTTCGTCGTCCTCTGGCTCGTCCGCGTCGACGACTGGGTCCTCGTCAAGCGCGTCTCAATCTGGTGGCAACTCCCCCGCACCCGCCCTCTAGGTGGAATACAATCGGTGCTGGGGCTCCATCATCTCCACACGGGCGCACCCAGCTGCGTTTGAGGACGTTGGGGAGCTCGCCGATGACATCGAGCAGCAGGCAGAGCGGACGCGCAGGGAGAGGAAGTGCGTCAAGGCGCAGCAGGAGGCAGAGCTGGTGTCGACCCGGAGTGCGGCCATGACGAGAATCCCGCCGACTACGTCCTGTCGCTAACTGCGGACTACACGCTCTCCTACCACGACGTCGACGACTTCGCACTCGTGCCCACCGACGTCATCCCACGCGATCCAGCCGACTGCACGATCGAGCTTAAGGTCTCGTTCGACACGATGGCCGATGGCACGAACCACGCCATGTTCAATGGCACCACGTACAACTCGCCGCTCGTGCCCGCGATCATGTCCAAGATGAGCCTCGGCCAGAACGCGAGCATCGCGGGTGCATACGGCCCGACGAGCTTCGTGCTCGACCACCTGACGACATTCGACATCGTGCTCAAGAACGGCGACGCCGGTAAGCAACCTTTGTGCGTGCTCCTCCGTTTTGAATCCTTGTGCATTCTGGTGCGCGAGACGTGAGACTGACGTATGTATGCGCGCAGACAGCCACTTGCATAGGCACAAGATGGAGCTTGTTAGGTGCTCGCAGGACTACGTATCGGACGACCTGACGCTCAACCGCCGCTGAACGAGAGCCAGCCGAGCCCGATGCGCGGCGACAACGTCCAAGTGCCCTCAGCCCGCTTTGTTACGCTCCACGTCATCGCCAACTACCCCGGCACCTGGTTTCTCTACTGCACGTCCCCCCCTCGCCCATCTCCTTGATTCTCCCGTCACTCTGACACGTATGTACACGCATATACAGGCCACATCGAATGGCACCTTGAAGTCGGCCTCGCACTCCAATTCATCGAAGAATCACAGATCACACAGCAGTGCAATGTGATCCCGCAGTACATATCCGACCAGTGCAGCATGCTCGGCCTGCCCACGTCCGGCAACGCTGCGAGGCACTCGCGCTTGGGCTATTCCTGCAGAGCAACGGCTGGCACCCGCACGGTGGCTACTGGGCCGTGGGTGGGAGATTTACATTTGGATTCTAGTTATCCTCTTCTGTCTCTCGCGATTTCTGCTTATCCCGTCATCCTTATTCCACTCGTATTAATTACCTCTCTCCAGTGCTACACCCCCGATACAAACTTCAATACTTCAAGGATGCGGGATGGCCAGCGTCGTGGATTCAGAATGCACGTGAAATGCTCCTCGAGGAGTACAACTCGAGGTACAAACCCTCAACAGTGCCAGCTGATGAGGACATTATTGCGGACAGTGTACCTGACGTATGTACTCTACCTTTGGTGTGGTGTGGATACTCACTCAGCTTCTTATCTAGGATGCCAACATTTTCGATCACCTACCATCAATCAAGAAGAGTTCTACTGTGGCTGAAGAAGTCCTTAGTGAAATCGACCGCTTCCTGACTACTCCGACGCTGAAGGTGAATGACCCCCTTCAATGGTGGGCTGACAATGCAGAAACCTATCCATCTGTCTCCCGGATGGGCCGGGATTACCTCTCTATCCCCAGTATGTGCCTGTCTTGTCTCTCTTTCCTCTACTGGTCAGTCTATGTTCTGACACTATATGTTTTTGATACAGCTACTGCTGTGGATGTCGAACGTGTATTCAGCAAGGGGCGCTTGTGCCTTTCGCACATTCGCAACCGGCTGAGTGCACAGACAACTCGTGCACTTCTCTGTGTGGGGGAATGGTCCCGCCTTGACCTTATCTCTGCAGATGACCTCAACCAGGCTGCATCCTTGCCTGACTTGGATGAAGAAGAGGAAGAAGCAGAGCTTGTAGATGGGTGGGATAGGATTGCAGCATCTCTTACTATGTAGTCCGTTGTTACATATTCGGCTAATGACTTATCACATTGGTCAAAGATCATCTTTACCCATAAACCCATGCATGGGTCTCACACCCACAATACCCATGTAACCCAAATCTTGAACCCATACCCACATGAACCCATGGGTATATGGGTGTGGGTACCTCTTGGGTATGGGTATGGGTATGGAGCTTGATACCCATGGGTTTACCCACGCCATTCGCTACCTTGGCCAGATTCTTCTGAAGGAACTTGTCAAGCTCGACTTGCTCACTGGGCGACAACGGGTAGAGCCTGATGTGGAAGGTCTGCGTGCCTAGGACCAGCTCAATGGCATAGTCGTAGGGACGATGTTCTGGCAGTTGGTCCGCCGCCTCCTTAGAGAATACGTGCATGTGCTCTCAGTACTCCGACAGGACCATCTCATTGACAGCCTGGACCTCACGTTTGGCGTACTCCTGCTCAGCAAGTTGCTGTGAGTATGTGTGATTTGCCGAAACAAAGAGCTGAGGTGCACCACAAAGTGTTTGACCTTTGTGCCAGGCGTCAATGAGAGACTGTTCGATGCCGTCCCATTCCTCTTCAGCTGAAGGTACGAGAGGCTCATCCTCTACCTCGTTGACCATAATCGTACCGCAGACGTGCCCTGCTGTTCGCATTTTCCTTACCTATGGAGACCTTGTACGCACCGTAGGCTGTACCCCCATATCACACGCCTCAGTCTCCACTGGTTTGGGTGCCTTGTGTGTCGCCAGGCGGGTGTCAGGGCATCACAATAGGTGCAGCGAACCACATTTCCAGTCTATCTCCGGGTCATGTTTGCACAGCCAGTCCAGCCCGATGATCATATCCTCCTCTCTGATGTCCATAACGACAAATGCGACCTCTTCCTCTTGGTCGTCGATCACCATGGTGAGAACGGCCACCTCAGTGATTGTGCCATCTCGATTTTCCAATCTGTTGATGTTGTACTGAGAAATAGGCTTCGCCAGCTTCCTTGTTGTGACCTGGTTTTGTGCCACAAATTGTCTATGGAAGAACTTTGTGGTGGCACCAGAATCGACCATGGCCACCAACTCCTTGCTCCGCTGCTTGCCGCTCAGTCATATGGGGATGTGGAAGTGTTGACCTGCATGGTCGACTTCATACATTAAGGACGATCCCAGTACAGCATAGCAACTATTGGTACACGAGCCCACACACGCAGCATCCAGTGTGACTCGGATTAAAAACCCTCCTTCTCCTTGGTGAGACTGACAGCGGCAATATGATCGCTGAGCTCCTTGATCTGCGAACGGAGAGCGATCAGTTTTCCCGAGATCGAAGAGTTCAAGGATGGAGTGGGGTTGGGCGGGGTGGTGGTGGAGGCAGCTGCCTGCTGGCTTCACAAGGGCTTCTTGCAGTTCCATTGGAGGTGGCCCTTGTCACGAACTGCCCCTATGGGGCTACATTTCCCTTTCGATCCAGACCACAGCCTCGTACGTTTCCTTATTGTTCACTACTCGCTATGGTTTCCCTTTGTCCGCACACAGACAATAGCCCCCCTTGTTTCCCCTTCACTATTGTCCTACGCCCTTGTACTCGGTGCCCATGGCAACACCATTGTCCCCTTAGCGCCCATTGTTCGTTCCTCATATATAGTCGGATCCCTTGCTACCTGGAGACTCTAGTTTCGACCTCTTGTCTCCAGGTAAGCCATCGTGTATTTCGCTCTGTAGATACTTCACTCAATACACAAATTGTCTCCAGTCCTGCCTATTGAGCTCCGCTCCAGTCTCACTGCGATCAGAGCTCGTCGGCGCTCCTGCCTGCCTCGCTCGTCTCCACTTACTCGCTTGACAGTCAGTCGTAACAAGTAGGACCCTGGACTCGGCCATATACTATACTTATCCCTCCTTGTGTCCAGCCTCAACTATGGTGCGGTTCAACTAAACGCCACCAGTTTTGCACAGAGCTAAGCGCGCGCTTAAGTGGTCACGTGACTTCCCCGAGCTTGGGGCTCAACGACGCACCACTGGTCGTCGAGAGGTTGCATAGGCCAACATACTTGTTATAGTAATGTACATAGTAGTGAACGAATAGGAATACAACATACTATGACAACCACATCATCTTGCTGAACCTCCTGTACTCAACGCCAACTTATGAAATGCCTAGACGCAAGAAGGCCTACCTAGCGGCAGCAGCTGGTACGTTACATATAGACTTTTCCCTATAAATTCACTTACTCACTTTGCAGGCCATATATGCATATTCCTGCCTAAATTCCATTGCGAAATCAACTTCATTGAGTACTTCTGGGGTGCGGTGAAACATTACCTCCGAGAACACTGCAATTACACCTTTGACACTCTCCGGGAGAACATGCCGAAAGCCTTGTGGTCTGTTTCAGTGGAACTGATCCGGAAATGGGAATATCGTGCATGGAGATTCATTGACGCATACACTGAGGGTCTGGGAGCTCGCGAGGTGCAGAAGAAAGTTGAGGAGTTCAGTTCCCATAGGTATAAGTCTCACCGTCATGTATCGGAACAGCTGGCGCAAGCAATGGACATTGCATAATATTATGTAATACAGTATAATACTACATTAGGAATTAAGCGCTCAAGTCACATGATCTACCCGACTTGGGAGGGGTCATCTGGGCCAACATTGGTCCAATTGACAAACCCTTACAGTGAATATGTTCCCTATGGGTAATACTTGCGTAATACTTGCAAATGACAGGTTATCAGATATTTTGACTGTAATGTGAGGGAGCAGTAGGACGACAGGGAGACCGTCGCTTACCATGTACAAAATTGGTGGTGTTTAGTTGAACCGCACCATAGACTTGTTTTCTTACAGCCCCCTTATACCTTCCTACTTGGAGTGTTCCCTTTGTCTTCCTAATAGAGTGAGTGCCCTAGAGTATATAAGGAGGCCTGTAGTTGGTAGAGGCTCTCCACTTCTATTCTTCTCTTTATTACACTTCTGTATCTCTATATCCCTCAATCTAGGGATGTGTGTGATACGCCCTCCCCTATTGTTACATCACATGCCTAAGTCCCTCTGAAACTCTGTCGAACACTGTGCTAACTCTGTTGGACCTCTAGACTTGTTTATGAACAGTTAATTATATACTGATTTCTGTTTCCTTTTCAGTCCCCGATAGGGCCCATGTGGTTTTCCAAGCGTCTGTCACGTCTCTGCTGGAATATCCATTTTTCCATATCAGTGTCTGGTGCCACTTACATCACTCCTCCACTTAGTATCAGTGTTCTACCAACTCCGGTTGGACCTCCTCCTCCGATATCTTCAATTTAGACTTAAGGGACACTGGCTTCGTAGTATATAAACCTCCAGACTCAGTGCAGTGTTCCTTAGTTCGGGTATTTTGCTACCTCACTCCTTGTCTGCTACTCTAACTACTATCCTACTCCAATCTATTCTTTCTGTCTCTGTCTGTTCTTCATCCATTCTCTGTCTGACCTCCGCTCGAACTCTGGCTCCGGAATTGAGGACACTGTCGGGATTCTCAAAGTGGTGCCAATAGCTTCACTGAAGCCCTCACCCGTGTCTTCCCAGCTCTGACTCTGACCTCCATAACTTTAGCGGCACAGCCCTAACACCTGTGTGCTACACCATATACTTCATCTGAAAAAAACAGTGTTTGTGAATTGACACTAATTATCACTATCCAGATAAACTTATCCATATTAGCAAGTGTTAGCAGATATAACATCTGCACTAGTACTACTGTCCAGACACACTTTTTTGGTAGTGCAACTAAGCACTAATGAGCATGTTTGGTACTAATTATAACTACTCTTCACTATCACTTTTTTCACAGCATCACTTAGTGCCAACATGATACTACTATAGCACTACTGCAAATGTGATCCTCAAATTTTTGCCATTTTGCACTATGGTACTACTATTTTGAACTATTTCAGCACTACCCATCTAGAGCAGACTCAAATAAGATGACAATCCTTCATTTATAGATTATAGTCCTCAACTAAAACATTACACACTCTTATAGCTGCAAAATCATCATGATAGCTGACTTATATTTGAGGACACAACTCAATAAAGGACTTGTAATCATGTATGGGATTAGGCTGCCAGTATAGCATTTATATCATAAAGCACACTCTATAGCCCACTCCATATTATATACATATCTCCAGACATTACACCTATGCAAGTCTCAGCAGGTGAAACTTAAGGTGAGGTGTCTCCACTTTGTCTAAGTTGAGCAGTGATAGATATATACAGTACTTGTAGAGAGGACCTATGTAAGCTCTAGTGGTGTGATGTCATGGGCCACTACCTCGAAATAAGATTGTTGTATGTGAGGTTGAGGTTTTAAAATCAGCTAAGGGTATTTTTTTTAAATATTTTTCCAGCACTTTGAATGCTTCCAGAGCTTATAAATGTTACCGTTGGTACGCCCCACCCCCTATCTTTTTCTATTGGACTACTCCTTCTCGTCGCTCTCGTGTACACTCCACCCCCCTTCCTGTTCCCGGCGACCTATGTTTACCCTCCCGTTCCCCTGTCGTCCGCCTGTACACTACCACCCCCCATTCCGCCCCCTGACGACTGCGTTCCTAGTCCTGGCCCTCTCCCTTAATATTTCCCCTTTCGTCTATATGACCGGACCCTGAGTCCGACCCTGACCCTTTCCCTTTTCGGTTACATTACTTTACCCTGACCCAGACCCTGATCCTTGTTGCGCCCCCTTCTCTTTTTTGGTTACATTACCCGACCCTGACCTAGACTCAGGACCCTGTCCCGCCTCTATCCCCTTTCAGTTATATCACAGGACCCTGACCTAGGTTGTGTACTATATCGGGTCCAGCCTCGACCAGACGTGTTCCTTTACAGTCTCCTCATACCTCCCCACTTTGGGCGGTTACCTTTCCCTTCCTAATACGGTCGGTACCCCATAGTATATAAGGAGGCCCATAGTCAGTAGAGGCTCCCCACTTCTGTTCTCCTCTTCGTTACCTCCTGTATCCCTATATCCCTCAATCTAGGGACTTGTGCGATACTCTCTCCCCCGTGTGCTACACCGCGTACTTGGATAAGTCCGCGTGATAAGTCTGGATAGACTTGTGTTAGTACTTCAGCGTAACATTAGAACAGAAGTTTTCCCACCACGCCTTGGATAGGACTCACCGTGGCGCACTCTATTCGTCAACTCGCAGACCGACTTCAACGAATGCACGGCCGTGACCATACTACGGTCGATTACTTGGACGACGAGGTAGTCGTCTACAACCACAACCGCACCCCCGAGGAACATCGAGCGTACAACCTAGTACGACGCCAAGCCACACCAGCGGACGCTGAACGTTCCATTCGGCAGCTCGAGGAAGCATACAGACGTGCGACCTACCAGGAAGGATTGCTCCTCGATCGACCGGTAGCACCGACGCCTCAGAGACAGGCAGCTATCGAACGCATCCGTCAACAGACTCTTGACTGGATTGGAAGGACTCACGCACGAGCCATCCTTCACAGCCCCGTTTGGAACAAATATCGCCTGAGCGCCGGCTCTTGGGCACCGAGCCAGGCAAGCCTCGAGTTTACTATCCTTGACGAACTCGAGCATTGGGTACTCCGCGATGACGGGTACGACGCAGACGGCGAACTACCATCATTCATCAACACCGAGCAAGAATCATCGGCAAGCAACCCCTCAAGCCCCGAACCACTAGACATCTTCTCCTTCCTTACGAGAATTTGGGACAACGCGAGCACGTTGTACGACATCACCAACCACCACCCAACCCTCACCCCGATCTCCGAGCAAGCACACATCCAGGTCCTCATTGAACAGGTTCAGCAGGTCGTCAACACCCTTCACAAACTCCAACGGCTCGTCAGCCCACCCCTTCCCCCCATCCCCGTTAGCCACGACCCAGAAGAACGCCACGGATCCAGTTACTTTACTGCTCGAATTCGCGAACAGGCCGAGAATCTTCGTAACGTTCAGAGTCTTTTGGACCCAGACTTCGCCGAACACTGCCGACGCCTACATCTACTCATTGGGGCCAGGGAACTATACGAATCTCACCGTCGCATCATTCGAAACGGATACGAGTCCCCTGACGCTAGTTCCGATTCCGACTATTCGGCGACTCTACGCAACTTCCACCTGGACTAGGTATCCCTCCGCATGAATACGCAGCGGACCGATTGCGCCCAACGTATTCACCGATACGACCCCGAGAATCGACGCGACGTCAGCTTCAATAGAGAAGGACAGAACAGGCGCACTTGCAATAACCACCTGTGCCCCAACCGATACAACGGACAGAGCAGCCCCAACGTCACCAACGGAAACGCACCACAGAAAAGGCAGGAAGCCTTGATCCGAACGACTTGGGCCCTCAATTGAACAACAGCCCCCTCTCCTCCGCGCAGCCCTGCTACCCACCGCACTAGTTCCCTACCAGACGTAGCGAACGAGCCCACCGAGGCTACACCCTTGTCGGAAGATAACCCCGCTCCTCGAGACGACGAAGAAACCGTCACCCCTCTCCGCGGTCTTCTCCAAGCACACCCGGACGAACCAGACAGCAACGCGGACACGACAACAGAATCTATAGACACTACTATGTCCGCAACGCAGCAGGAACAAGCTCGGACCCAGAGGCTGTTCCGAGCAACGAATGAGCCGAGCGTCCCAGACACACCACCTTGTTCCAGCCTCCCCAGCTTCCAACTCGGAAACTTGTTCACTCCACAAGATAGCATCTCCTCTCTACGCTAGGCGACAGGGGCCCAACCCGGTCAAACCACTCACTACGCCAGCAGTGAGGCTCTGACAGCACAACCCGTGATACCACCTACTACTGCTGCACCACCGGATCGGCCACCTACACCTCCTGGTTTGCCTCAAGGATCTGTCGGACCTCCGCAGGGCGGCGGACCTCCTCAGGGACCTGGCGGACCTCCGCAAGTCGGCGGACCTCCTCAAGGACCTGGCGGACCTCCGCAAGGTGGCGGACCACCTCAAGGCGGTGGACCTCCCCACGGCGGCGGACCCCCTCCGGGTGGCAGACCTCCTCAAGGACCTGGCGTACCCCCGCAAGGTGGCGGACCCCTCAAGGAGGAGGACCCCCCCCACGGCGGCGGACCCCCTCCAGATGGCGGACCCCCTCAAGGACCCGGCAGACCACCACCTGTGGCTCCTCTCGGCGCACCAGGCGTCATCACCGGACGACCCAAAGTCCGCGCACCCAATGTTTTTGACGGAGACCACGACAATCTACGCACCTTCCTCAATGAACTCTTCCTGTTCTTCGAAGCACGTCCAACCGACTACGCCACCAACCAGAGCCGCATCGTCACCGCCCTAACGTTCATGAACGGACTGAAGGTGATCACCTGGAAGGACGGATACATCGCTCAGGCCCAACAGAACGGCTAAAACACCTGGAATGTGTTTGAGACGGTCTTACAACAGACCTTCCAGCCCATCGAGGAAGCCGCTACGGCCGCCTCCAAGCTGTACCACCTCGACTACCAACCTGCTGCACCAGACACCTTCAACGCGAAATTCTTCCGCCTCTGCGCCCTTGCTGGTATACTCAAAGACAGTGCTCAGCTGTCCTTTTACAAGGAGTGTCTCCCAGAAAGCATGCGACGACGGGTTCGCCTCACGTACCCCATCCCCACCACTGTTAACGAGTGGGCAGCACGGGTGTTGGAGATCGAACACTTCAACTATGAGGAATGACACCTGCGCCAACTCGAGGGACGCTCTCGCAACGACCGACAGGGCCATGGCACAAAGAGACAGTCTGCTCGTACCAACTCCATACGACGAGTCGACGCTCCAGCCATGAAGGAAGACAGAGAGAAGAAGCAATGCTTCTACTGCCACAAGACTGGTCACATCGCACGTGATTGCCTTAAGAAGAAGGATGCTAAGGGATGACAGCCTGGACAGACGAAGCGGAAGGTGCGCAAGGTCGATGAACTAGAGGATGGCGAGGTCGCCGACGATGAAGACAATGGCGAAGACACACCTGACAAAACGATCAGTCAGGTCGACGTAGACGATTCGGATGAGGGTTTTTGAACGGGCAGTCTTCGCTGACAGAAGAACTGCCCTCTGACTGTATTAGTATCTCATTTGTTGCCACTACAGAACGACAACGTCAATCAATTCTTATCCCGGGCAACATCGAGTACGAATCTACAAGTGTCGGAGCTTATGCGTTTATCGATTGCGGAGCAAGTGCTTCTCTCCTTAACCAGAATTTCGCCAAAAAGCACAAACTCCCTCTCATCACCCTACCCTCCCCCCTTCGTTTCACCAATGTCGATGGCACCGCCAACACAGCCAGACCAGTCACCCAGAAATTTGTCAGCCACTTTTGAATCAATAGCCAAGAGTTCCCCACTGAACTCTACGTCGCGGACTGCGGCCGGGATGACATCATTCTCGGAATGCCATGGCTAATCCAGTATAACCCCCATATCGACTGGGTACAGGGCAAGGTCCGGTTTGACGCCAAATACCTGCGGGCGGAACAGCGACTTTGGGAATACCACCAGCGCCCCTCAGGGACTCCCCGTCGGCACCTGACTGTCGCGGCGACTAGGCGCGTAGACTCGGGTCGACGTTCGGCGACGACCCCGTAGGCGAGCGGCGAGGAGCCGAAAGGGGGAAAAGCGAGGGAGAGAGGGATAAACGTATCAGAAAACTCGACGGGGCAGAGCGGCGGTCGGCACGAAGGCACGAGACCGACGAAAGCTAGTCTTCACGCAAGCAGCGACAGACTAGTCCCAATGACCAAGTTATACATTAGCAATCGAAGAGAGATACAACGCTATGGTCACTCACCTAGTCCCAATGACCAAGAGGTCGAGATGGGGACTAGGGAGCGCCTAGGGGGGTCCTTATATACTAGAGGGGCTGGCTTAGCAACAAGGACAAGGCGCGAGAGCGAGG